CCCCTCCCTCTCTCTCCCTCCCTCTCTCTCACTCTCTCTCACTCTCTTGCTCTCTCTCTCTCTCTCAATGTATATTTAATAAATAATAATATTACAATACATTTATATTTATTGGCAATGAAACAAATCATTACAATGGCCAGCACAGGCAACCCTAGGCTTCTCCATACAGTGATTGTTGCTAAAAAGCGCACTATTTTCCCTAAGATATCTCCTCAGGTCCCGCTTACACCAGTAATGAAATCAAGGGAACAGTTGACTCCTCCTCAGGAAAGTCAAGAAATCCCAAGAGATGTGAATACAGAACTTCATGTTACTTCGAGGAACATGGGGAGAAATGTATGGGGTGTCACAGTGAGTGAAGAAAAGGTAAGCTATATTTGTTGGGGTAAGTGTACACAAAAGTGCACGCACTGTAACGTTAACGAAAAGGAGAAGAAGAATTCAAAATCTCAGAAACACATACAAAAACGTAACACATACAGAGAGAGAGACAGACAGACAGACACATACACATACACACACACAGTCACACACAGTCACAGACAAGCCACAAAGAAAATTCTATTGATTTAAAAAGAAACAAAAAGAGTTTTACCTGCCATATTCCCCAGGTAAATGCCACAACGGACGCCCAGCAAAAACTTCCGAAGACGGGGAATCTTGTATCCAACTTCAAGGTACCAAAAGCATCGGACAGCAAGAAAGCTCCAAAGTAAGGCTGTCATTTATCTACAGCTCTTAAGGATAGTTTTTAATCCAACATTTAATGACAATCAAGACTTGGTGGCACACTCAATTTTATTAACTTATTAATGCCACCACCAACGCAAAGGACAATACTAAGTTCTCATTTTCACCTTAGTTAAGTAAGGAAGTTACATGACAACATTTCACTTTCAGTAAATTCTCCACGACTGTCTATAAAACCTTCACCAACTTAAGACTTCCAAAATTTGTCTTCACTTTATTTGCATATCAGTCAATAGTTTGTGCTTATAAACCTGCATTTCTCCTCTGGTCTTTCAGTCACTGACGAAAGCTAGTGGATACTAGCTGAAACGTCTGACCGTTTCCAAAATCATATCCAGTTGCTTGAGTAACTGCTTTTTGGCGTATAATATGTTCATGTTTTCCTTTTTGTTCAGAAGTACGAAGGGCGGTTGCCAGCCTCATCTGAACGTGGCGTTTCTGAAGGTCCACAAGTGCGCCTCAACTACGGTCTCACACGTGATCTTCAGGTTCGGCCACGAGCACGACCTACTCGTCGCTCTGCCGGCTAAAACCGACTGCGACATTATCGGGCACTTTGGAGTCATACGGTACGTTGGAATCTTTTTAGGGCTAGTAATATTAATGTTTTGGGTGTGTCTGTGTCTGTGTGTATGTTTAGTAATACGTAACTTTTTTTTTGTTTGTGGTCGGCATAGCTTAATAATATCTTATAGATTGTGATGATATGGACTACATGCACTGGATATGTGTAGGTCTTTGGAAGATAAAGGTCAATGTCAAATTGGGCCCTCCTAGTGGCTGTCCTTGGTACTGCAGCAGAGCTCTTGTTTCTTTCTTGTATCTTTTGTTTTATTTCTACTGACAACAAACCATTATCCTCAATCAAAGACAAAGACACAAGTAACTTATTTCGCAAAAATAGAGTAGATGGACTCATTCGCCATGTATCTGAATGATGCATTAAATTTTGTTCTATCGCATGAAGGGATGAAGATTATGAACCGCCCCCTGGCGGAAGACGCTGGAACCTCTTCACTCACCACGCCATGTACAACAGGAGCCGCTTCCGCCAGCTCATGGATCCAGATACAAGGTACGTGTCGTATCCAGAAACCAGCTGTATCCATAACATTTTCGGGAACGGTTCTGGATAGTCCACGCGTATCCAGAACCGCGCTTTATCCTGAATCATGCTCAGGCATAGTTCTGGATATTAACTTAGTAGTCTAAGTGAATCCAGAACCGTGCTTGGGCAAAATCTACGTTCTTGAATTCTCAGAGACTATCCAGATCCGTGCCTGATCCTAACCCTAACCCATTCAGGCATAGAACTAGATAGGCACGGTTCTGGGTACAATATACTATCCAGAACCGTGCCTGATCCTAACCCTAACCCATTCAGGCATAGAACTAGATAGGCAGGGTTCTGGGTACAATAGACTATCCAGAACCGTGCCTGATCCTAGCCCTAACCCATTCCATTTTCAGGTACATAACCATTCTCAGAGATCCACTACAGCGGCTACAGTCTGCCTTCCAGTACCACAAATTCGAAACCAGGTTTGTAGACATTTTCCCCATTCTAAAAAAGATATCTTTTTTTCTGGTTTTTGCTCTGTTTCCTCTACATTTTCCTCTTCAAGCAGATAAGGTCAATGACTTAAACCAGACGTCTGTCACCATGGTAACTGGTGCTGTAGCAGACAGCCTGTGGTGTTGGGTTACATTATGTAGCAGGATAAGCGTCTAAGACAATGGTAACTGGTGCTATAGCAGACACCTGTGGTGTTGGGATACATTATGGTGCAGACCAGACGTCTGTCACTATGGTAACTGGTACCGTAACAGTGGTGTTGGGTTACATTATGTAGCAAGTGTCAGGACAGATTTGGTGGGCTGGTCAGCATGTGTTTAAGTAAGAATAATAAACACAGCAGATGTTTGTTAGGCTAGACCTTGTGAAAATTAATAATATGTATATGCAAATTCTACCTTTCTAGTGTTTAATTGTGCTTCATCAATAAAAAAACAGGTTTCCTGGTATGAAAAAAGAAACGGCCAACGGCACCGCCTACATCACAACTTACCTGAAGAAGCCAAGTTTCTGGGACCTGCAGTTCATTCCACACGAGAACATCATAGACAGGGAGAACTTCTGCTTCAGAAACTGCATGTCGCGAGACCTAGGGCTTCAAAAGAAAGACTACGATAACCACACTGCTGTACAAGCGTTTGTACAAGGCATTGAGAACGATTTTACCACCGTGATGATCATGGAATATCTTCCGGAGTCGCTAGTCCTGCTGAAACGGCGAATGTGTTGGACCCTGCGAGATATCCTTTACGATTCTTCCTCCTGGGTGAAGAAAAGCACGTACTCGCTACAGTCGGTTTTCACACGAGAGATGGTAGAAAACTTCGAGAGGCACAACCACGCCGATGTCGTGCTGTACGCTCGCTTTAAAGAACTTTTTCTTAAGCAGATCAAAGAAGAAGGCGTCGGCTTTAAAGAAGAGGTGAAACATTTCAAACGCGTCAACGACAAGGTTTCCAGTTTCTGCGCGAAGACGGAAGAATGGAAACGCAGGAGGCCGAAACTTTCTATCAAAAAGAGCAAGTTAAGCGACGCTTTCGTAGTTGACAAGCATTTTTGTCTGGGGTATTACTTACGGAGGTGGCATTGGGATTATGTATCGTGGATGAAGTATCAACCTCGAACGACAAATGGACAAAAAATTAACAGGATTCAGAGCTACTGTGGGGAATCGGTAAAACAAAAAAGGCCGATTGAATCTCTCAAAAAAGTGTTGAAGTATCTTCGAATTAAAAAAGTGTGGAATTGAGAAAGTTAAATAAAATCTTCATCATCATCTAGAAGACCACCAGATGTCATAAAAAGGGCTCATACCTTTGCATCATATCCGTATATAGGTGTGTAAATATGTAAATCTTGTAAGTTTGGGAATGCATCTATAGCAGCGACACCTGTGCTGCAGTACAATGTGTACCAGTCAGAATTGCCCCGAGGAAGGCGACAGGCGGTAACCGAAACGTCGGCTGAATAAAAGACCTGGTTGTGTAAAAAGAGTCTCTTTACTTACCAACCTGATGAAACTATTCACACATATCCGGAAATATTTTCATAGGTTGGTGTTGGTAAGAGATGGTAAAAGAAGGATCTTTACACAAGAACCAGTGGATTTTCACATCCAAAATTTCAGTGACCGTCTGTCACCTTCTTCAGGGCAACAATGACTGGCTCTGATTCGTACTGCAGCTAGGTGTCTCTGCTGCAATATTATAATTGTTTATTTGTTTATTATGATTTTTCACAAAGTGAAAGGGAGGGCAAAACAGGTGCATACGCACCTTTACAAGTTGCCCTCCCCCAAGCAACAAATTGCTGTCCCAAGCTTAATTTTGTCACATGATATCTACATATCGTCAACAAATAATAAACAAAATGAGTAACTTAAATTTCTAAGAATGCTGTTCCAAATGTGATAGCGCCTATATCCTCTAATCACACTTTGTTTGTTTGTTTGTTTGTTTGTTTGAACCATTCTCTATTCATGAGCAACACAAATCGGCCTGCATGCCGCTTTTCATTTGGTTTGTTGTTTGGCTTCGTATCGTATTTGTTACCTCCATGAAATGGAAGGTATTGTTTTTGGCGCGTCTGTGTGCGTGTGTGTGTGTGTGTGTGTGTGTGTGTGTGTGTGTGTGTGTGTGTGTGTGTGTGTATGTGTGTTTGTGTTTCCGCTTTTTTGTACCTTCATAACTCCATAACGCATTTATGGATTGTGGTGATATTTGGTATACTGGTAGGTGTTAGGGGGGCGAAGGTCAAGGTCAAATATGGGCCTCCTGGTGGATGGCCTTGGTACTGCAGCAGCACTTCCGGTTTAATGAGGAGTCTGCCAGACAGGGTAACAGATGTCTGATTGTGTCGAGGCTGCCCCGGGCTTGCGACCTGGTTTGATTAATGAGAGGTTCTTCCTCAGGGAATAAGGCGACCTCTGTGCGCTATGATGTGGAAAATTTGAGTGTTAGGGTGGATGGACACCCAGTGTTGACGTAATTTTGGCACTGAGATCTAGTTACCTCCATGAAAATGGAGGTATTGTTTTTGGCGCGTCTATGTGTGTGTGTGTTTGAGTTTCCGCATATTTGTAGTCAGCATAACTCCATAACGCCTTTATGGATTGTGATGATATTTGGTATGCTGGTAGGTCTTAGGAAGCCAAAGGTCAAGGTCAAATATGGGCCTCCTGGTGGATGACCTTGGTACTGCAGCAGAACTTCCGGTTTTTGTATCTTTTGTCCTGAACATGTTATGGTCTTGATTTTTGGGTGACAGATAGATTGTCCTGCCAGGAATAATTGGTGTGGGTTTGGTCCCCCTAGCAGCTTGTTCTGAAACTGCAGGGGACTTTCGGGGGAAAATCTTTAAAAGCCAATAGGTCCAGACAGGAACAATGTATTTTCATCATTTTTGGTAGGTAGGTAGCTGAGAGAGATGTACATAACTTAATGCAAATTATGCAAATGAGGACTTTATTTGCATAATAAATGAGGAAATTCTCTAATTACAGTGTTTTACATTGTAGTACTTTAATACATGTAATGTATGTAATCTTTGGCAGATGGAACATCAACAGATACCAATAATGCAAATTATGACCTCATTTGCATAATTAATGCGAAAATTCAATGGGTAAATGATGGGAATTTCCTACTTGGTGTAAATTGTAAATTCATCAAAAGTTAACATCACGATACATTAATTATGTTAATGTGGAGGTCATTTGCATAATTAAAGAGGAAATTTACATTTACACGTCAAGCCCATATTTCATGGAGGTATGTGATCTCAGATCTCTTGTTTTGATTTGTCACCATGCCAAGAATGTTTGTTTACAGCATCAGACGAGCCATCACTTGACACTTGTTAGTCATTCTTACATTTCGTCTTTCTTTGAAAATATCCTGATGAAAAGTTGATTTCGTTACGGAGAAATTACAGCAGCGAGGTCAGGCTATAAGTGTGTGGTCTAACTGAATTGTCAACAACCTGTTACTGGAATTAGATTAAGAATCTGTGACCTGCTTGATTTGGTTTCCAAGGAGACAGAAGGGGAAAGGATGACTAACCTCAACTTTGTTAACCTCTTAAAACGAACTAATTGCAGGAAAAGTAGGACACTTCGGCTTCCACTGCTTCCAATAAAAAAGAGGTCGGACCCAAGGTACTTTTTATCTGTGTTGGTACAAGCCATTCTTTGACATAGACTGCAGTCGAACAGTTAAAAACTTGTTTGGTCAATTTTTTTTGTCTTTGAAATTACAGTTCAAATCTACTCTTTCGCTCCAAAGTCGTCAACATTTCAAGTACCCTGGACATTCTACTTGTTTAAAGTGAAAAGAGGTTTATTTTTTTTACAGTCTGATAAAAATGTAAAACATGCAAGACTATCTTTTAGAAAACTAAAATATCAACATTTATTCACACCTATTCGCAACTTTTCACATTTCAATATCAAACATTTCTACAAGCTTCTTATACTTTCTTATAGTTTACAGTGCAGAAAGGACTCGATTTTTATCACAAACGATTTACGTAAAATATACACCCTCGTTGGACATTTCATCTCCCTATACAGTAGGAGACTCACCGGTTGCAATGCCTTTGAGGCAACAGAAAACAAGCACAGCAAGTGAGCAGAATTTCAAACATTTTGCTAAGAAAACAAGATGATTGGGAGCCCCGGGTTGCAAATCCGATGGTACCAGGCTACCTGTAACTAATCTTCGGGCACGAACGTAAAAATAAACTTCCTATTAAGATGACATCTTTGCAAACCAAGTGAGCATGTTTGTGTAATAAGCAGCAATTCCGACTTAAATGTTACCTATATGTCCTTAACACATGCCTGGTTCCCGTGTCCACGTATTTTGAAATTAGCTCTCGAAAACGGACTTAAAAACAATGATGTTTCTACTTGTAGACACCATTCGCATAGCGTTTAGAAAATGACAGCGAAGAGACTAGATGAAGACCGTTCCCGGTCGAACACATCGAACCCCCTGTTCTATTTCGAACTCGTCGAGTCCACTGTTCTGTTCGAAATAGAACAGGTGATTCGACGTGTTCGAAATAGGACAGGAAAATAGAACAGGGTGTTCGACGCGTTTGAAATAGAAAAGGGGGCGGGGCTTATGGTGTTCTATCGGGAATGGTCCATGTTCGAGCGGTTTTGGGCTTTCTACTTATCATTGTCATTAGGTGACACCTTTGCCAGCCACTTGAACTTGTACGCAGCGACTCCCACGCCGATTCCGACTGCTGCCAGCACCACCACGCCTGCGGACACTCCTGCAATGTGGTGCGGACAGAGACACAAGAATATGGGATCCCGTCTTGAATCATGTTGATAATTACACATTTCTGCTAACAATTTCATGAGCTTATTGAATTATTGAATTTCAGATTCATTATTCACAACCCTATGTTTACAAGAGCCTAACGTTACATTGGACTCCAGGAAGATTAGTAATTTTGTATCACTAACGAAGATTTGGTACAATAGACCGGTACAATAGCTCAAATAGTTCAAACCCCGGGCGGGTCATACCAAAGACTTTAAAGATTGCACATACTGCTTTCACTGCTTAGCACTCTAAGCAAGAGTGTGGGAAGGTCAAACACACACCTAGCCCCTGCTGTAGCGCTTTTACAACTGTGTGGCCCAAGGGCTTCAGAAATAGAGATGGGCGCCACCCCTATGCTCTACACAGAGTGGAATGGGACCTTTTTGTAACGAAAAACAAACAACAACAAAGCAACAAACCTCCGGCCAGGGCGCCCTGGTCCACGCCCGACGCCTGCTTGCCCTGCTGCCCGGCGTCCGGTGCGGTGGTGGTGCGGATGGTGGGCGCACGAGGAAAGGTACTGGTGGTGGACGGGACGGTGGTGGTCTCCGGCCGGGGGGTGGTCACGGGCGCGGCGGTGGTGGGGGTGGTGGGGTCCGGGGCCGTGGTGGTGGCAGGGGTCGTTGTCGGTGGTGTCGTGGTCGTGGGGGGTATGGTGGTGGCTGTTAGAAACAGAGAGAGATGGACAAGAAAGGGTTAGGTAGGTCTTTATTGTATCCAGAACTGTTCTGGATAGCCTCCACGTATCCAAGAATGTAAATTTGGTAACGTGGTGGCTGTTAGAGACAGAGAGAGATAGACAAGAAAGCATTATGCTGAGGTCACATTTCCAAACCAGGGCCCGGCCGGGCTGTTTGTATGAACGAAAAGTCAACAATTCTTGTCAGGAATTTTGCACATTCAAGTAGTACTCATGATCATCTTTTTTACTTTTTATGTGTTTTGTTGCTTCTTATATCGTTTTCAGGTCATTGTAGAAGCTGAACATTCATTTCAAACGAAGTTTGCGTCGTCTTACTGAAATAAGACCGCCTTAAAACTAAGCAAAAATTAGCGTGACAAGAAAACAAACTTACGAACAAACAAGTGAACTACGTTAAACGTACGTAAAATGCAGCCGTCGTTGTCTCCAGGGCCTGAAGAAAAGAGAGGATAATGCTGTCAAGTATTAGAAAAAGTACACTCTAATAACCATTAAAAGAGGACGTACATATTTTGGCATGACCACAGTACTGTATCACTGATCCCCATGGACTCTTAACTACACCCACCCACCCACACACACCCACACACACCCACACACTAACCCACACACACGCACCAACAAACACACACACACACACACACACACACACACACACACACACACACACACCACACACACACACACACACACACACACACACACACACACACACACACACACACACACACACACACACACACACACACACACACACACACACACACACACACACACACACACACACACACACACACACACACACACACACACACCCACCCACACACACACACACACTAACCCACACACTAACCCACACAAACGCACCAACACACACACGCACCAACACACACACCTGTTCACTTTTCTGTTAAGTTGGTTCTCTGTATGTAACAGTCATGTCACAGTTACCTCTTGTTACTTTTATGCTTTATCAATTTTGGTTGAACCTAAAGTATTATTATTTATCATCTATGTTACATTTGATTTGATTTCTGTACATGACCAGTACTACTTAATTTCCTGTATTTATTTACGTATATATTATGTTAAGTTATAATTTATGTTATATCTGATTCTCTGTACCTTTTCAGTTGTTTTGATTTTGTATTTTGTCGGTGCCTTATAAGCCCATATGGGCTGGGCTGCATATGATCGCAATGGCACGAAAATAAACAGTCATTCATTCATTCATTCATTCATTCATTCATTCACACCAACCCAC